TCTTAATTTGATTCGTGGTTTGATGACTAGTGGTGCATAGCAGTGCTATGGATTTATGTGTGTTCATTTTGTATCCTGAGACTTTTCTGAATAATAATTCCATTATAAGACATATAGACATTTAGCCCAAAAGTAAATCATGGCATGTGAAGCTTTAACTCCTTAAATCATAACTGTATTTGTGATATCAACATTTTATTTATAAATTTTATTTTATTTTAGAGAAGTGGGGTACAAGTAAGGATTAGCAACATAAGAAGGCTTCATGCAGGTGAAGTTTGAGCCTCCAAGTAGTCCTCACTCCCCCTGGAATAGAACCAGGTACCCTTCATGTTGTCACGTGCCTGTTTCCCTCCCTCCCCTGGCAGTGTCCAGTGACTGCTGATCCCTCCCTTGTGCTAATGTGATTAATGTTCAGGTTCCACTTATGAGTGAGAACATGTGGTATTCAGTTCTTTGTTTCTATGATAGATCACAAAGTATGATGGCTTCCAACTCTATCCAATTTGCTAGGAAGTTCATGATTTTGTTCTTTTTTATGGCTGCATAATACTCCACCATGTATATGTACATTTTCTTTATCCAGTCCACTTTTGATGGGCAGTAGGGTTGGTTCTATGTTTTTTATTATTGTGAATAGTGTGGCAATAAACATGTGTGTGCAGGGGTGTCTTTTGTAGAACAATTTATTTTCCTCTGGGTATATTCTCAGGATAGGGATTGCTAGATCATATGGAAGGTCAATTCTTAGTTCCTTTAGGAATTGCCACAGCACTTTCCATACAGGTTGAACCAGCTTGCACTCCCATCAACGGTGTAGAGGTGTTCCCTTTTTACCACAACTGCACCAGCATCTGTTGTTTTTTGACTTATTAATGATAGCCATTAATATTGAAGTTAGGTGGTATCTTGTTGAAGTTTTGATTTGCATTTCTCTGGTGATTAGTGAGGCTGAGCATTTTTTCATGTGTGTGGCTGCTTGTATGTTATCTTTTGAGAAGTGTTTTTTATGTCCTTTGCCCACTTTTTAATGAGTTTTTTTTCCTTTCACTTTATTTGAGTTCCTTGTAGGTCCTAGATGTTAGGCCTTTGTCAGATGTATAGTTTGCAAACATTTTCTCCCATTCTGCGGGTTATCTCTTTATTTTCTTAATCGTTTATTTTGCTGTGCAAAAGTTTTCAGTTTGATGAAGTCTCATTTGTCTATCTTAGCTTTTAAGTCATTCACTTTTGGGGACTTGGCAAAAAATTTTTTGTCTACTCTGTTGTGCCTAAGGGGAGCTGATACCAGGCAATCAAGAAAGATGGAATTCTCTCCAAATCATTTTTATGAAGTTAACTGATACCCAAACCTGTCAAAGATCCAACAAGGAAAAAGAATTACCGGCCAATATCCTTGATAAACATAGACATATACATTTTCAACAAGATTTTAACAAATCAGATTCAACAACACATCTCAAGGATCATCCACCATAACCAGGTGGGCTTCATTCCTGGGATGCAGGGCCAGTTCAACAGTTGCAAGACAACAAACATAATTCAATACATTAACAGATATAAAAACATGAACCACATGATCATATCATTAGACAAAAAACAAACAAAAAACATTTGAAAAAATCCAGCTTCCCTTCTTGATAAAAACTCTTGAACATCTACCCATAGAAGAAACATTCCACCAAACAGTAAGAGTCACCTATGATAAGCCCACAGCCAACATTTGGCTCAGTGGGCAGATGTTGGAAGCAGTCCCCTTAAGAATGGGAACAAGACAAGAATACCTTCCTGTTCAACATAGTGCTGGAAATCCTAGTCAGAGCAATTATGCAAGAGAAGGAAATCAGGGGTATCCAAATAGAAAAAAAGGAAGTTAAGCTACCTCTCTTTGCGGATGATATGATTCTATGCCTTGAAAACCCAAAGGAGTCAGTCAAAAGCTGCCTGGAACTGATAAACAATGTTTTGATGAATCATTATTTCAGCCCTCTTTTAAAATGCACTTTAGCTTATTACACAGATTTCCTCTAACTGTCCTATAGATGGCAGCATTGAGCAACATATTTTGGTAACGAGTTGCTTTTCCATTCCTGTGAATTTTCAGTGAGGAGTAAATTTTTCATAGTGTATTTCATTACAGTACACCACAAGACTAATTTAGCTTAGGTGACAGGATAATACTCATACCTGCTCAGTATTACTTCAGTTAGACTCCACAAAGGGTTTCTTCCTATCCTGTAATATGAACCAAATGTAAATTTGCATTTCCAGAGTTATCTCAATCTATTAATAAAAAAGTGGAGAACAATTGAACTTACCATAGTATAATTTAAATAAATATTAACCACCTTTGGCATTGGTAGTAAAACGTCAAGTAGCAAAAAATGGTAATAACATCCTATGATCAGTGATTATCTTCCATATGATACCCATCGGCCTGAACAGAATTTATCACAGCAACCAGTTTTATTTAATAATTTCTATTGAGTATTTTAGCAACTGAAGTTGTATTTTTAAAAGCAGAAATCTTTCACCACTGGGAAACATAATTTTTAAAAAGCTTTTATAATCATAGTTTTATATGATTAAAATCCTAACCTTTTGGTGAAAATTATTGTAAAATATTTGCCAATTAAATAAATCTTCTAGCCCTCCACTCCTTCCAGGAATGAGTATTTTGTTTCCCACAGAAATATAGTCCTTTAATTTTTCGTTTTTGGTGGGTGGGGCAGGTGTAAGGACGGGGTTATTTGAAAAGCAAAAGTCCACGGATTTGAATTGTTTTCCTACAAAATGTGAAATACTTCACCACCCCGACCCCAGCGCTAAACATCAAACCTGTAAAAAGCCCTTTGGCCTTATCTAGATTACATTGTTACTAGTAAACAAACCTGTTATTCTCTTTCCTTTTCCTTGCCTGGGGTAAAAACAGGCACACAGTCACAGTTTTCAACTAACTTCAGGCTTCTCTATTCCGCATCTCCTTCCCCCGCCCTCCTAAAGCAGTCTAGACCCTTAGAATTTCGGTCACTGTGATTGCCGCCTCGCTACCATTTCCAAGCATCTGCTATTTATAGCCTTGCTGTAGTGGGCACGTGTGCCCACATCGCCAAGCTGTCAGAGGAAAAGAAGGGAGGGCTTTCAACTCAACACGTGTACTCAAATTGCAGATTGACCAGGTTAGACGAAGCTGAATGATGGCATGGAACGAGAAGGTCAAAGGAGAAATGAAAGGCTCTCAGGCTTCGGTGGGGAGTAGCCCCTCTGCAGATGCCGGATTCCCCAATTCACGTATCGCACGCCTCTGAATGGCGCCGGTGGTTCTTTTCCTCCTTCCTCTCCTTTTTTTTTTTTTTAATACTACGCTTTGCAACCTACCTTGGTACCCTCACCCCCCTCTCCCCACCTCCTCTCCTGCGGTGCCAGGCTAGAAGGACAGGAAGCCTCACCAATCAGAAGGCTTCCCCAGAAAACTCGCCCCGCCCCTCACCCAGCTTTAGGCGGAGGCGCGCGCCCGGGCCGCCCGGCCGGTCCTGGCCATTGCATTGAGCATGCCCAGCGCCCGGACTGCTGCGTTTCTCTGCTAGCCTCCTGCAGTGCTGGAGAACTGAGGCTAAGGAGGGTCCCGACGTAGACAGGGGGCGGAAACCCCCAAAGGCCAGGAATCCAGTGGAAAAACAAGATAGCATGAAACAGTGACAAACGTCATATCTGTAGGTCCTGAATGACAGCTGAGCAAGCAGGGACAAGCTGCTTGTTTATAGGTCAGCTTAAAAAAAAAACAAACAACTTCGGGGAGCGTTTGCCTGTGGTGAGAGCGATTCCGCAAGATAACCGTGTAAGAAGCTCTCCAAGGAGACCAGACTGCTGACCTGTTCTACTCATGAAGTACCCATTTTCCTGTACAGTTGAGCTGGCACTATCCATGCTTTCTCCCGATTATCCTTGAGGTCAAGGTTAAAAATTCATAGGGTTGGTTCAATGGGTGTGGAATCTGTGTGTGAAACAAACATTTCAGCCAATATTTGCACAGTAGGGTTTTGGCCTTATGAACCCTATGTCGGTCCCTGACAGATTTTTTAAATCACAGACTTAGGAATAGGGCAAGGAGGCATCTCATCCCCGCCTTCCAAAATGCCTACACTTTTAGGTGGGAATCCCCTCTCGCTTGGATGAGCAAAGGGAAAGATAGAAACCGATATTTACACGTTTTCCCTAATTGATCAATAAGTAATCCCACAGCGCCAGACGTGAGACGCTTCAGAGGGATCCCTATTCCTTTGGAGTGACCGTAACTCCCCAATCACTGCCTTTGGGCGTCCTTCTGTTCCTTCGAGGTACCGCACCACGCAAATCCGGGGATTCCAAGGTGGAAGCCTGGCCCAGAAGTCCCTCAGAAAATCTTACAAAAACAGATCTCACCATGGCCTATCACCCCGAAACCCAAATCCAGCGTTTCTACTTCCTGGGAGGCAAAACCTTGACTAGAAGCCTCCCTCCCGAGGGGTCGATCTTACCTGCTAGGTAAGATCCAGCCCAGCTCCCGCGCCCCCGCCTCCCCCGGCCCTCCCACTCGGGGCTCCGTAGCCGCAGTGCCCCCCCCCGTCGCCCCCCACCCTCACTCCTGCGTCTTCCCGAGCTCGCCC